GCAGACAGATAATCGGAACTACGACTTATGCACAATGTTTTTAGAATGTAGATACATTAGGGATTGCGCAAGCGCACGGATGTGCCATGGACCAATTGTTCAACAACATAGGGTATCTAATTTATCATTCATTATACATCATACTTAACATTGTTAATAATTTTACAGTACAATTGCAAACTTCACAAAAAAGGACTTTTACAAGATGATCTACAAAACTTTGTTCTGCATATTTGCTATTCTGTAATAAAATTCGTTTATAACGGCTCCGTTTGTAGCGACGATTCGCATATAGCGACGAAATTTGTATGGTTCTGCATGTTCTATTCCATGTTGTTTTTACAGACACGAACATTTTCACACCTCTCAGGTTTTAATTTGTTTTCCCCGTCAATATTTCCGGACAAACTTGAAGGCGTAGAGCGAATAAGTTAATGTTTGGTGTTTTGTTTGGCTTGTTAATGTGTTCCGTGTTCCCCGCGTCCCGTTCCACCGTTTGGATTATAAATTCAAATTTTGCGAGTCGCGATTTCACGGTAAAGTTGCCGCTGCAGAGCACAGCCCGTTTAATACGCATTATATGTGATAATCAAATGCAAATTGCAGTTCATCTAGGCAGCGTTGCTGAAAACAGCGCACTCTTGATGAAGTGTAATCTAATTACAGAGATAACAATGAACGTTGTCGTACCGTCCTGCCGTTGATGCCGCGCCATCGCTTACTTAATGTCGCGCCGCGCCGCGCCGTGCCGCTCGCTTAATAATCCTTACAATTAGTGCTTAAAGTCCATTCGGCGTTACACGGTCTCTCAATCCTCTTGATTTCGACACACAACATAAAATATAAACGTTTCTACAAACAAATATATACACCTACGCCATTTGATCAACAAATAATTTTCATCCAAATTGTTAAAAAAATACAGAGGTGCTGCACTTCATGCAGCGCCCAAACTGTTATAATTGTTCGACAATTGTACAGAACAACGACATAAGCTGATTTAAAAGATGCTAATAGTCACTAATCCAAACCCACAAATGAATCTTTATAGTGAATCCTCTCTGGGTCAAGTAAAACTATTCCTATGTCACCTAGGCCTCGATAATAAGAAGAAAGGCCAAATTTTGGAAAAGTTACGTATTGGAATATCTTACCGATATGTTTAAGTACAAAAAAAATAGGAAATAACTATTATAAGGCTAAAAATACAAAATAATAACGTTGATGATGAGATACGGCACTGACATGTCAAAAATTAATTAATTAACCGATCTAATAAGCAGGCGTATTCTACACGATAGTAAGTCCAATTTCGAAAGTAGATATTATATCTCGATCCAGATCATATGGCCGGAACGCAGTTGTAATTCTAATAATTAAATTATCACTAATTCCATTTCGGATTGATTTTATCGTATTTGTTCTGTACGGGTTTTGCAATTAAGGTCCTATTTAAACGCATCAACTTTATTTACAAATGCCACGATAACTTTTACTCAGAATATTATTTAATTATATCATTGGTAATTGGAAATCGGAATTAATTATACCTGCTGCCCTTTTATATATATAGAAACAGGACGATACCAAAAAAAAAGTTTTATATTTAAAATATATCGGTTAAACATTAACAGATTACTTCGATTAGTTGATGTGCTGATGAGAGCTAATAAGTCAATAGTCACAAGTTTCAACGCAATTTGTTTCCACTTGTCTAATATGTAGCGTCCGTATATATCGTGGAATATAAATATAATCGGAACCGTTTCGGCAGCATGTAAATATATAATCGCGTATGCCGCCCCTTCGTTTCCCGTAATCCACCCACCCCATCATTCGTCGCCGTCATAGTCCACCGCAGCCGACTGCCGTATATGCGCCCCCGTCAAGTTACGCGATGCGGTCGTACCATGTTCGCTTCATTTGTTTCGAACACCGCATGTGTCACGCCGTAATATCCCTAATCATGGCACAGATGATAGTTACATGACTTTTGGAATTATGCGATCCTGTACACCTAGTAAACAAATGCACAAACTGGGACGAATCCAATTGGTTCAGGGAATAGTCGACAGCCTTATTTTTATCTACTATTAGCAATTCCGCTTGTATTGATAATAAATTCAGAATCAATCAACGTTTACAGATTCGTTAGGAAGTTTTAATCGTCAAAATTTGATACAATTTATACTAATTCCAGCAGGAATGGGTCTTTGGTTGTCATTTAAAGTGTATATGGTATCTACTTATTCATAATTTTTAAAAGCTAATCAATAGTCGAGTATAAAATGCACAAGTTGCTTTTTATCAGGGTCATAAAGCAGTCATATTAAATGTCCTGTGAGACACATAAGGTTCTGCCCTAAAGCAATTTGTCATTATGTTCAGTTTACAGACGTATTGGCGCAGTTAGGGAAGGACAAACCTCATTTTTGAAATCACAAAAAAATCGATAGTATTGACAAAATATATCTACTGTTTTTATTCTATGCACCTTGAAAAAAAAAGGATTCGATGCCTCATTCCTCCTAAATTTAATTTATAAGCTCCCTAGCTACGCCATAGCACACACAACCCTAAAATATATCAAGGATATACATAGCGAGATTATCAGAGAGAAGGAAAAAATCAGGATTATTAACAATAATAAAATCATCATACAAATATTGCTAGCGGAACTGCTGAAGAAACATTTAAGTGTCAACTCTAAGACGAATTGAAAGTCTTGTGGTTTTTATAAATTATTTTTTAATAATGGCATCGTTTTATTTCCTTATTAATATACGAACTAATAATTGGTTCCGGGTTTTCAATATCTGTAATTATACCTGTACCCACTAAGTTTAATACTTAGGTATACATGCGAGCTTTCACTCCACTACTGAAAAAAATAGGTAGTAAAAAAATGCAACGCAAAAGTAAATCGTCAGTTAATACCTAATGATTTCCAAATTGATAAATTTTAAAACGATTGGAATTGAAAAGTAAGTGTTAAATGAATAAAAAGTAATGCTTTTTTAATATCGATATAATTAATTGCTTAAAAAGCAGTATAAAATCGACAATTACAAGACTGTCCCGCCATCAGAGAATGAATGGCGCCAGTATGAAAATTAAAAATATAAAAATTTAAAATTAATAATATAAGAAATGCATGTAAATGAATTTCAATATAGAATATAGAACCATTTTGTTATACTTAACGTCTTTTAGATACGAAAAGTATTTTATTTTTCATCTAGAAAAGCTCTTTCTTTTCTCTATCGAAAAGCACGTAGTATTATGGCAGAGGCTGAATGCCGAATTGTTCCGGTTAGTTTAACAGAAAGCTACGGAGACGCTGCCGACATTGCCGTCGCTGGCGTCGTTACAGACAGTGACGCTCGGCGTCAGACCTAATGTTGCGCTGATCATGTTAGAATGTGTTTGCAAGCCTAATTTAGAGTCCAGGACTTTGCCGCTTTGGTAGCAAACCTTCGCATTATTACTACTATTATTATTATCATCGTCGCTCTGTTCTTTCCCCATAACTTATTTTACTCGGCAACCGTTGGTAGGTAGGTACCCTTCTTGTTTGTCCTCTTAACAAGGACATGGCAGAGACAAAAAAATCAAATAAAGGGTCAACTCGGTTGTACAAGGTGTCCCCAAAAGTTTTGATGGCCTGTTAACAAATTATATCACGTCTATTTCATGTAATAACCAAATAGAAGGAGTGTGACGCCATCTAGTGGGTATTTGCTGCTACTTAAACGTTCTTATTAAACATTTTTAGCTACTAAACCTCTGCGATATCAGAGATTTCAGTGTTCGTGCCCTAATTAGCACAATTATCTGAAACTAGTGAACATTCAAACAAATCAAGCGTAATACGTATGTCGGTGAAATGGTAATAGTAAAATAATAATTATAAAGTAATTTAAGTAATTACCGAAATTTTGTTAGTTGTCTGAGTCACTTTTATTATTTAATTTCTAATTCTCAGCTTTAATACCTAAATACTTTGAACCTTCCTGAATTTTATAACAGTATAATATAAAATAGATAATTGATAAGTAGATGTAATATAAATAAAATCTAAAGAATATATGTACATATAAATAGATAAGGTTATCACATAATTTGTACACCATTTGGAGTCATGAAAGGTACCACAAAAGTTTAAAAACTTTAAGTGTATTTTCGATAATCTGAATAGCAACCGTCGCTTTTAGCGAATGAAACAGAAACGGATTCTCTTCAAAACGTTTGTCTTTTTTCGAGAATTAAAAACAATAAATTGATTAAAGCACTAATTATTATTATTACCTATTCAGTACAGTGCATCGATTTTTTTTGTTTTTGGTGGATATATTTAATAGTTGGACAGAGATTATTATTATAAATTGTACGATTACCACGGATATTAAACACTCCGCTCAGTATAGGAACAGATAATAAAAAAGGGACTACTTTAAATCCGTTATATGAGAAGGACATCGAGACTGATTAAGAAACAGGCCTACTAAATCAATATCATGGACAGAAGAACAAACAACGAGGCAAACGATAAAACTCCCATTAATGCTTTATCAAACATTTGTTCTTTTAATATTGGTATATTTAAATCAAAAAGGTAAATAATGCCAAATAGAATCAGGTAGCTACTGAGATGAGAAACGGGCGAGGTTTTTAAATAAACTTCCACCAAAACAATGATTTTGATATTAACTGGTAAAAAGTGGTTTCAACTGTTAAATAAATCATAATTAATTAATGTCCTTTACTAGTTTTGGACACTTTTGATTTAGGTATTAGATATAGGTACTTAAACTGATTCCTAAACTTTTCGTGTTCATGTAGGTACCTTTTAGAAACAATTTTTCATATTGAGATCAACAGATGTAGATTTAGTTCTGATAAAATCAAAGTCTTTCCAATATCAATATACAGTCAACAAACATCTCCGCATCTCTTTCAATATTTAGTGACCCTTTTATTAAAGTGAAAATCTTTCTTACCTGCAAGATCCGGTAATCTCGGATAAAACATTCCGGTCCTCGCTAGCCATTCCAACTGCATTTGCTGTAATTGACTGTGACTGTGGTGGCTAACAGATAACTGCATCTTTTGAGCCATGACATTGTCTAAACTGTGAAACGCCGAACTTTGCAAGTGCCCTTGTCCTTGATACCCGTAAAATCCTGCTCCAGTCGATGGATAGATGTGATTCAAAAGACCCGGTTTTGGTACAAACGATGCTTGAGGAATCTCTTCACAACCGGGAGAAATCGGAGGACTACTGTCTCTAGTAGACGTCGGAGAGATACTCCTGGAAGTCGCTGGAGAATTAGGATTCTCCGATTCTCTGGAGAGCAAAGCGTCTATACAAAACGATCTCTTGGACTCTTGGAGTTTAGTGTCCAATGGACCTTTACCAGGATAAGGATCCTGACCAACATGAATTATAGTATTATTTTCTTCAAGATAGTGTTGCATATTTACACCAAGTAGTTCACACGTGTTCAGTACAACGGAAGATGATGACACAAAACTGTTCAGAAACGTAGTTACTTAAAGTACATCGCACTCAAAACTTTCGCGTTTCGTTGACGAGTTCAATAGCAAAAATAATGTCAAACTCAACTGAAATGCAAGTACTCGCTGAATGTCTATTTGGATGTGTGTGTTGATAGACTAACCAATTTGAAATGTATTATCCTGATAATATCAAGCATTACCGTAATATTAGACGTATACATTGCAGTCGGAGGCGCGCGTGATGCGCGAATGCTATTGGTCTGCGGGGGAGTGACTCCGCCCCCCACATCCTGGTACCGGAAGGGAGTTGCCTAGACCATAGACCACGTTGTTACAAGGACCAAAAGCTACTGTGGACGGCGCAACGAAGGATACAATCACTAGTAATAATCGAAGACAATTAAAGAAAGAACGAGATAGCAAATACAACATTTAGGAATAGTAAAAGGCAGGACCTTGTGTAAGGCTCATCACAATTTACGATATATCGTGTTATAAAATGCGGCTGGATGCTTTACACAATAACAATGTTATTTTATACCAGTAAACGTATATAGTCCTTACACTCTTACACAGAGAGCATTTTGTTCTGAGCATAGTTGTCAGGATTCCTCTAGATCAGAGTCCTTTGACAAACGGACAGCGAATGAGTAGCTTTTGCTGAATCTTTTCAAGTTTGTAAACATTGTAAAAAAATGTTTTTGAAGCGTTTCGGTCGCATGCTCGGGATTCACGTTAAGATGAGCGAATAGATTTAAATATCTTAATATCAGTGAATAATGTGATATATCCCAGCATTTGTAAAATTCGACATTATAAAATACGGCTAGGCTCATTGCATAACTGAACTGTTTTATGATACAACTAAAAAACGTACAGTTGCATCAGTTGTAGGAATATTGTCCTTGTACAAACCGCTTCTTTCAGGATACAGTTACCAGGATTCCCCTAGATCAGAGTCCTGACAAACGAATTGGGAATTAGTATTTAAAACGTTTCTGTCACATGCTCAGGATTCACGTTAAGATAAGCGAACAGATTTAAATATCTTAATATCAGTGATTATTGTGATATATATTGGAACATGTTTGTAATATTCGATATTATAAATTACGGCTAGGCTCATTGCATAACTGATCTGTTTTATGATACAACTAAAAAACGTATAGTTGCATCAGTTGTAGGAATATTGTCCTTGTACAAACGGCTTCTTTCTGGATACAGTTTCCTGGATTCCCCTAGATCAAAGTCCTTTGATAAACGAATGGCGAATGAGTACAGTGAATNTTATCACATAATTTGTACACCATTTGGAGTCATGAAAGGTACCACAAAAGTTTAAAAACTTTAAGTGTATTTTCGATAATCTGAATAGCAACCGTCGCTTTTAGCGAATGAAACAGAAACGGATTCTCTTCAAAACGTTTGTCTTTTTTCGAGAATTAAAAACAATAAATTGATTAAAGCACTAATTATTATTATTACCTATTCAGTACAGTGCATCGATTTTTTTTGTTTTTGGTGGATATATTTAATAGTTCGACAGAGATTATTATTATAAATTGTACGATTACCACGGATATTAAACACTCCGCTCAGTATAGGAACAGATAATAAAAAAGGGACTACTTTAAATCCGTTATATGAGAAGGACATCGAGACTGATTAAGAAACAGGCCTACTAAATCAATATCATGGACAGAAGAACAAACAACGAGGCAAACGATAAAACTCCCATTAATGCTTTATCAAACATTTGTTCTTTTAATATTGGTATATTTAAATCAAAAAGGTAAATAATGCCAAATAGAATCAGGTAGCTACTGAGATGAGAAACGGGCGAGGTTTTTAAATAAACTTCCACCAAAACAATGATTTTGATATTAACTGGTAAAAAGTGGTTTCAACTGTTAAATAAATCATAATTAATTAATGTCCTTTACTAGTTTTGGACACTTTTGATTTAGGTATTAGATATAGGTACTTAAACTGATTCCTAAACTTTTCGTGTTCATGTAGGTACCTTTTAGAAACAATTTTTCATATTGAGATCAACAGATGTAGATTTAGTTCTGATAAAATCAAAGTCTTTCCAATATCAATATACAGTCAACAAACATCTCCGCATCTCTTTCAATATTTAGTGACCCTTTTATTAAAGTGAAAATCTTTCTTACCTGCAAGATCCGGTAATCTCGGATAAAACATTCCGGTCCTCGCTAGCCATTCCAACTGCATTTGCTGTAATTGACTGTGACTGTGGTGGCTAACAGATAACTGCATCTTTTGAGCCATGACATTGTCTAAACTGTGAAACGCCGAACTTTGCAAGTGCCCTTGTCCTTGATACCCGTAAAATCCTGCTCCAGTCGATGGATAGATGTGATTCAAAAGACCCGGTTTTGGTACAAACGATGCTTGAGGAATCTCTTCACAACCGGGAGAAATCGGAGGACTACTGTCTCTAGTAGACGTCGGAGAGATACTCCTGGAAGTCGCTGGAGAATTAGGATTCTCCGATTCTCTGGAGAGCAAAGCGTCTATACAAAACGATCTCTTGGACTCTTGGAGTTTAGTGTCCAATGGACCTTTACCAGGATAAGGATCCTGACCAACATGAATTATAGTATTATTTTCTTCAAGATAGTGTTGCATATTTACACCAAGTAGTTCACACGTGTTCAGTACAACGGAAGATGATGACACAAAACTGTTCAGAAACGTAGTTACTTAAAGTACATCGCACTCAAAACTTTCGCGTTTCGTTGACGAGTTCAATAGCAAAAATAATGTCAAACTCAACTGAAATGCAAGTACTCGCTGAATGTCTATTTGGATGTGTGTGTTGATAGACTAACCAATTTGAAATGTATTATCCTGATAATATCAAGCATTACCGTAATATTAGACGTATACATTGCAGTCGGAGGCGCGCGTGATGCGCGAATGCTATTGGTCTGCGGGGGAGTGACTCCGCCCCCCACATCCTGGTACCGGAAGGGAGTTGCCTAGACCATAGACCACGTTGTTACAAGGACCAAAAGCTACTGTGGACGGCGCAACGAAGGATACAATCACTAGTAATAATCGAAGACAATTAAAGAAAGAACGAGATAGCAAATACAACATTTAGGAATAGTAAAAGGCAGGACCTTGTGTAAGGCTCATCACAATTTACGATATATCGTGTTATAAAATGCGGCTGGACGCTTTACACAATAACAATGTTATTTTATACCAGTAAACGTATATAGTCCTTACACTCTTACACAGAGAGCATTTTGTTCTGAGCATAGTTGTCAGGATTCCTCTAGATCAGAGTCCTTTGACAAACGGACAGCGAATGAGTAGCTTTTGCTGAATCTTTTCAAGTTTGTAAACATTGTAAAAAAATGTTTTTGAAGCGTTTCGGTCGCATGCTCGGGATTCACGTTAAGATGAGCGAATAGATTTAAATATCTTAATATCAGTGAATAATGTGATATATCCCAGCATTTGTAAAATTCGACATTATAAAATACGGCTAGGCTCATTGCATAACTGATCTGTTTTATGATACAACTAAAAAACGTATAGTTGCATCAGTTGTAGGAATAATAAGCTCTTTCTTTTCTCTATCGAAAAGCACGTAGTATTATGGCAGAGGCTGAATGCCGAATTGTTCCGGTTAGTTTAACAGAAAGCTACGGAGACGCTGCCGACATTGCCGTCGCTGGCGTCGTTACAGACAGTGACGCTCGGCGTCAGACCTAATGTTGCGCTGATCATGTTAGAATGTGTTTGCAAGCCTAATTTAGAGCCCAGGACTTTGCCGCTTTGGTAGCAAACCTTCGCATTATTACTACTATTATTATTATCATCGTCGCTCTGTTCTTTCCCCATAACTTATTTTACTCGGCAACCGTTGGTAGGTAGGTACCCTTCTTGTTTGTCCTCTTAACAAGGACATGGCAGAGACAAAAAAATCAAATAAAGGGTCAACTCGGTTGTACAAGGTGTCCCCAAAAGTTTTGATGGCCTGTTAACAAATTATATCACGTCTATTTCATGTAATAACCAAATAGAAGGAGTGTGACGCCATCTAGTGGGTATTTGCTGCTACTTAAACGTTCTTATTAAACATTTTTAGCTACTAAACCTCTGCGATATCAGAGATTTCAGTGTTCGTGCCCTAATTAGCACAATTATCTGAAACTAGTGTCCGTGGGGTCCTGCAATCACTACCATCATCATGCATACATGCGTATGTATGTGTATCATACACATTCACGTACACTTTTTAGGGATAATCGAAATGCACTCGCATCAATTGGAAGAAATAGGAAAAATATTCGATCTATAATTATACACACTTAAGCTTGAAAATCTCAGCTTTCATGCATGCATCATAATTCTGGAAAGGCTTTTGGTTCATCATCATCTTAAGGTCGTCAGTCCTAAGACTGGTTGGACATGCATTTCCACTCTTTCTTATCCTGAGCTAATCTTCGCATTTTCCTAAAAACTAGAACATCCCAAATCGTTAACTATTTGTCATGAGGAATCTGATCTAGATAAAGATCTACGTCTTCTTCTCCACTTAATGACGATTTCTGCTTCTAATATCTCTCTAATTAGCCCTTCACCTATTTGTTATTTATTTTTAATTGACTTTCAAAGTAGAGTATAATTTGACAAAAAAATGCTAATTTGGTATGTTTAGGGTACCTTGAGGTATATAATTTTGATCCCATTTAAATAACTAAGATCACTGAAGCAGTATTTTTTTAAATTAATGCCTAATTTGGCCTAACCGATAAAAAGTGTTTTGCTACATTTGTTTACACGTTAATCCCAAATTCGACTCGAATAATCAGTCCCTCAACAGTTCATTCACACCCTACAAGGAAAAAAGGGAAGTTTCCAACCTATATTCTTCAATTTTTATTATAACTAGAAATATTTTCTTATATATTTGTATAGTATCTATTATTTGAAGTTCGGTAAATGTCTATAAAAGTCTAAGTGGGTATAAAAGATCAGAAGTTATGATCTAATTGAAACAGTTGGAGAACAGATAGCGCTATAGAAGTCCTGTTTATATAAGACACCTATTATTAGAAGCAGAAACAGGAGTAAAGAGGGCAAAAGAAGACCCAGATAGTTAAAGATATGGAATGCACTAGTTTTCGGAAAGTGCAAAAATAGGCTCAGGATAGGAAGGATTTAATTTTTAATTTAAATTTAATGAAATTATTTTCATGTAGGTATCAGTGCATTTTCTCACTTCTCTTTTTATCACAAATAAGTTTCTCACTTCATGACCACATTCGTCATTGA